TTAAAAAAAATCAAAAAACAATAACTCTTTCAACAAAAATTAACAATAAAATAAATAAATTGTGCAATTATAAATGTAATGATCAGAGCTCGGGAGTTAAAATATTTGCTTATTTTTATGGATTGACTTAAAATGTATCAGAATGCTATAGAAGTGTATGTCAAGTTATAACATGTACAATTATGAAATTTGAAAGTTTTTTTTTTTGCTTTTTAGCAATTTTTAAAAAAAATGCTTATTTCCCAGTTTTTCTGATTATTTTTACTTATTTGACCAATTTTTTTACGTGTTTATAGTTTTCTCTTGCAAAGTTGTTTTTAATAGAATATAAATTAAAAATAATTCTTATTTCATCTACGTTGTCACGTAGTTCGTCGTCGTCCAAGGCATCGTTGTAGGGTTAACAAAGATATTCCAATGCTTAAAATGGAACTGAGTGTCAAACGTCAAAATGATCAAGAACAAAGAACAGTTTACATTTTATTTTTCAAAAAAATCCCTTAGAAAATCCACAAAATCCTTAAAGTCTTGAAAGTGAAGATTTATTTTCAATTTGTTTGGTTTTATAGTTAGAATTTTATAGTTTTTTTTTTTTTTTTTTTTAATAAATATTTTTGCTTAATTTAAAATTTTTTAAATGCTTATTTTAGTGCTTATAATGATGTTTTTTAAGCGCTTATTTTAATGATTTTAAATTCTATAAGTCCCGATTCCTGGTAATGATATACATTGTTTTTATTGGCAAGAATATATTATAATAAATTGTGTATAAAAAGTGTTTCTTTTATCGTCTTTTCGGTTATCGTTGTATATTATTGTTTTCCAGGAACCTAACCTTGTCATTAAACGTGGAATTACAGAACAATGCTTTCAATCTTTATTCAATTCATAGTTCATATTTTCATATCATCATAAAAATTGTGCTGATATATCTTATCAAAAACATTCAGATTTTTTTTTCGTAAACATTTACAAACACAATTATAAGCAATATAAGTTACATCAAGTTGTAATATAATTATAATAGATAAGAAAAGGTAATAGTGTATACAGTATAAATATGGCAAATAAAACTAAAACCATATTGTACGGGAAATTTTTAACTGTTTTAGAATTGTTCTATCATAATTTGATAAAAATCTTAAATTCTTCATCATGCTCGTCATCAGTCAAATTTGAGTTTTTTTAAATACTTTCACTTTCTAGTTCGGTGCATAACCAACAATTTTAATTTTATTTTATATACGAATTATGAAAACAAAATAAATTTTTAATTTCATGATCATCAATTCGCAATTTATGATATACGTCCACTACGATTAAACCTTCCGTAAAAATAACAATGCCTACTATTAAATTTAATGCTTAGATAAGGTTAGATAATCATACATTTGATTGAATAGAAAAACCACATTGTAAATATTGTTCGTGAAGCGTATGATGATGATTGATGCATTAAATCGTGGACATGAAATTGTTATACGCGTTCTTGATTCATCGAATTGGATTTTGAAAACCATAATTTTTTTATTTTTTATTTCGTGATTTTCTTCATAAATATCCATAATTTTCCTTAGTTATTGATGTTAGGTGATGTACATAACGGCTGATGCGATTTTTTTTAAAGAATATCGTCCTGAGGGAATTGTTAACATACACATTAGTTATAAATAAACTCTTGTTATAAAGAGTATAGTTTATAGTAATAAAGTATTGCTGTTACAATATACAATATCGTATAATACGTTTTGCTAGTTAGTATGTATAAATAACAAAGAATCCTTATATGATCCAATCATTGATTTTGACTGCATGTTTTACTTTTTACATGATTTAAATGCATTATTAATTGGTAAATTTTACAAAATCCAAATACAACGCCTCCTTGTGACTACAATGTTCACCAGTAACATGCGCGAGATAACTATCAAATTCCGATGAGCCCAGCGTGAGTAAAGTGGCAGACGATTTTTATTGTTATTTTACCGAGTATTCGAATGGATTTATGTTTTACATTCTTGTTTTCCGAGGATTGTAGAGTTAATGGTCATTAATTTAAAATGATAACCGTGTTAATACTACGGCAACGGCACCATATTAAAAAATAAAATAAAACATCTGGTAAATCGAGAACAATAATAGACAACTCCGACGGTTAAAAAGCGAAAAACAAAATAAATCTTAATTATTATCAAACTTCTCCATCGCACACGCTACACACATTAACAATAATGACAATTGGCAATAATTCTAAAATGCATAAAAATTAATAATATTGATATACGCACGAAAGTTCTATATTGATGTCTCTTTACATTAAATGCGCCATTTCGCTTGTACGGTATTTACCATTACATTATTGAAAATAATTACACAGACAAAAATGCATTCGAAAACATTAAACCTGATGGATTTTATTTAATAATTATAATTCGTTTCGTGTGATCTATATTATAAAAAGTACCTAATCACTTAAATAATAGTACTACATGTAAATTGTTATGTACGTGTAGATATTTGGTAGGTATTATAGACGTATAGCATATAATTAAGAAACACAACTCAATTAATCACATAGTATCGTATAAGTAAAGTTTGATGAATAAATTAATGCTTAAAAAAACCATTCATCATTCTTCTTTTAAATATTAACCAATATATAAGTATATGCATATATATATAAGTAAATTATATATAACAATATAAATTTCACGTATTTACAAATAACATTTATTAATGGACCTTCTTCGAAAGATTTCAAAATCAAAAAAAGAGAAATAATGCAATACTTGTATAATATATTATAATTAGTTTTACTAAAATATCGAAAAATTTTGTTTACAAGGAAGACGTGTTAATTTACGATTAAAATATAATTAGACGACACTCTTCGTTTGTTTCAAAGGTTATTACAGTCATTATAGAATAATTTACTACTTATACTTCTATAACACAGACAGTTCAATACTATTAAACAAATTGTAGATGTAAAAAAAAAAATACTGGTAAGAAATAAATTGTTATTCATTATATTAAAATGTCATCATTATTATTTTTGGCAGATATATCATGCATAAAGTATGAATAATCGGCATGTTATAAAAATAATTAAGAACATGTTAAGTACACTAACCTTATATTTTAGATAAAATACATTTCCGATCAGTTTATATAGTAAGTTTTTAAAATTAATAAAGTTAAAAAATGCCTAAAAATGTCAATATAATTTTAATTTTTAAGCACACCTATTCAATTCAATATACTTTTATAAATCGTATTTGAATCCACTAATTTATTATTTGTTTCAAACTATCCTAGCAGTTTCAAATTTTTTAATAAACGCAATGTGTTATTCCATAAGAGTTTAAGGAATTTTACACATAAACTTAAAGTATAAAGTATTCAAATTATATTATAGAAATAAAAAAAATATGAAAAATAATATACAACGTAAGATCGATAGATAATTAAAAGTTCCCAAAATAGTATTTCTTCTAATGGATTTAATCTAAATACTTTTACTCATAATATAAGTAATATATTAATATAATGTATAATCGATATTTACAGCATAAATATTCAATGGTATGTGAATAGTAAATAAATTATAAAAGAAAAATATTTACTCATCCTAAATATCGTTATTATATAACTGTAATTACAACGTATATTATTATAGCTAATCGTAAAATATGATAAATAAATTATCGAAAGAAAAGTTTATAAATACTATAAATATGACTTTTAGACTAAATCAATTAAGATCATTATAAAAAATGCTAGCGAAAACAATCAACAAAATCAAAACAAAAATTAGCATCTGAAATTCCACATACCTATATGTTATTTTGTTGTACTAAATATGGTAATAATAAATAACAATAACATTTAAATTTTAGGTTTTATTCAATATAATAATATATTTATTGGTAATTTTTAACCTATCTCGTGATTCATTAGCTTATTAATTTACATAATACAAAAATTATCATTCAATACGATGTACAGATGGACATTTTAAAAATAGCTATTATCAGATTTTCCTTGAACTGATTTTGTTTCTGGACAAGAATACAATGAAAACGCAAATTTACTTTTGTGAATTTCATAAGAACTCGACTCATCGAAGTGTGTAATATACACATAATGATAGTAGATTAAATTAAAACGTATTTACCTAATAGGTAATTTACATTTTACGCGTATCACCTATATGTAGTCGTATATGACCATGAAAACGTGTGGTGCAACCAGATAAAATGAGATTTCAATGTTCTTTTCCTTTTACAATATTTATTAATTTATTTAATTGGTCACAATTAAAACTATCAATCGGCAGATTTAACAGTCTCCGTTTAAAAACGTCATGTCAAATATCCTGAGAAAGCTGCACATATACATCATGGTGGCAGGAAATCACCAAATCCGCCGAGTCACCCCTACGCCCAGGATAAAACGGATTTCAGAGACGAGCACAAAACTTCAATTTAGGGAAGACGGGAAATGTGTTATCGACTATATCCAGGTTCTGATAACTAGTATTTTATGACTCAGAAGAATGTTTCAAGGAAGCAGGGTGTGCAATAGCACCATCAACTTAATATGCACCAATAGACGTCGTTATTGTAGTTAACTTACACATTAAAATATGAATAAACTATCTATATAAAAATATATGGTTAGTAATATCTGCATGGTTATGGTTAATACCTAAAAAATGAACGTAATAATGTGAAATATGTTAGAACTGGTCTGCCAGTTAAAGTTCGTACACCCAGTAGAAAAACTGAAACTACAGCCCTGGGTTATGTTAAAAATGCACATAAAAAATACCTACGTACAAATATATGTATAATATTACACGAGAAGGTCCGTTAACTTGTTAAGTGGCTCTACATTATTTAAATGTTCACGTTAAACGTGCGTCAAGTGTTGCCAACATAAACGGATCACCCTCCGACGGTGGTGTACGTGCGAAAAACTTTTACATAGGTACGAACCTGTGGCTTCTGCGGCGGCGGTGGTGCAGTGACGACGGCCGGCAGCCCGTTGTCGTTGGTATCCCCGGGGTCGGTGATATCTTGGGTGTCAGTGGCAACGACCGTGGTGGCCGTAATAGTGGTGGTGGTGACGTCGACGGCCGCGGCCGCGGACCGGTTCACGACGACGAACGTCTGCAGCAGCATCAACAGCAGAGCGGCGGCGGTGCACGCTCGCGACGCTGACAACGGGACGGGCAACATGTTGCTATGTCGGGCGTGAAACTTCGAATGCACCGCGCGGACGCCGGTCGAATAGAGTAGTCCGAGGTTATAGCGGCGGCGGCGGCAGTAGCGGCGAAGGCGGTGACGACGGCAAACGAAACGACTCGGACTTGCACTGTACAACAATAATATTTTATGTTATACTGCATGTTGATGATGATAATAATGATGATGATGATGATACGAAGGTACACGAACACACCGCGCGGCGGCCACGTGATCTCAGTCTTCGTCGGCTGCCATCGTCGAATTTCGAAATATCAATATTACGACGAACCTTTACCACAGTCACACGTACATGTAGTATTACATTGTAACAACGGACAGCCTCGTTACGATTCGTAAGTGAATCGCCCGCGACCCGTTCGGCGACGACGAAGACTCGACAGCGACCAGCCCCGGGGCGCGTGCACAACCCTACGCAGTCTCAATAAGTAAATATAATAATAATAATACCGGTGCAGGACGTACAGCGATGACATCAAAGATTTATAGCCAAACCCATAAAAAGTTAAAAAAATTAAGCGCCATCGCATTTGACGTTCGATATGAAGCACAAAGTAATGAGCATTACGAGTATGCATGTGCAACGAGCGAAAAGAGGGGACGTAAAGAGATTATTATAATTATTAGAATCCCAACGAGTCGAAAAAAACCGGTTTTCGTGGGTTTTCCGTGTACCTAGATCATTAGCGCCAAGATGGTTAAAAACGCTTTGTATCAACCGAAATGAAATAATCGTGCGACAATTGTACACACAAGGCAACTCTATGCGTTGAAAACCGCGCACATTTTCACATTTTTTTAGTTTCAATTTTTCCGTACGTCGACATTGACCTCACGGTATCCTCTTTCCCACAAACGTCTACATAATCTCTTGTGCGTGTTTATCTTTTGCCGATGTTTTCCTTTCGTTTGCATCGTCTTATCCGTTTTCCACGAACCGCGACCACCGCCGCGCTACCAGCCACTGCGGAACGTTCCACAACAACTATTGACGTACAAACAATAATCATGAATTATGCATAAAATGATGCCATCGCGATTTCGAAATCACAATTTACCGTATAGGTGAGTTAAAGTGTAAGGGTCATTAATTATTTTGTTGTACCGACGGCATCTGTTTGGGATTCAATATTACCATGTTGGGTTTTACCGATCAACAGCTCGTGATGGAAAACCCACAACCGTCATGACTTGAAATTGTTGTAACTCAATAAATTATAGTTTTCGCGCGCACGCCTTACAATCGCGAACATTTGACGGAGAAGAACTACATTTTTATCCTTAATAGAATTAACTAAAACCAAGATACGTGTGGTTACGATCAAATTCTGCAAAATTCCCTAAATTCCTCGATAATAAAAATATTTAAAACATATACCTACATATTTATTAAAATAATAATTAATATTGTTTTCTTGAACGGCTAAACATCGCATACGCTTATGCGTTTGACAGAAAAAATCAAGTTACAATCTAGGGGCATAAACAATTTGGTCGTTACTTTGATAAAGCTTTTAGCATTCGTTTAATAAATTAAATGCTCAAAAAAAAAAAATGATGTATACCTTTATTTATTCATATACAAATTTTACTTTTGATCGTAGCAGAGTTTTCGCGAATTCAGAGGCTCACTTAACCTTCACTCAAATCCGGAGACGTGATCCGCAGGCTACGTCCAACGTCCGTTATTGTAAATTTGCAGTTCCCCATAAACACCGTCGTTATAATTGATGAGTACAAATTGCAAGTAGCGCGTACGCCGTCGTTATTGAAAACGTCCAATGTCATCATCGTCATCCATTAATAAAATTATACTGAACTGCGTGGCTCTGAATAAAATTATGTAGGTACACCATAGACTATTTTATTCTAGGAATTCTACGATTTATTATTTTATTATGTTATGCTGTTTACGAGACAAAAAAAAAAATCATCGACCGTTTTGTCCAGTCCGACAGTAATGATAAATTAATTAGTAATAACCGCCAACGAAAAGAAAATGCATTTACCGTAATTTATTTATGTTAACAGTGATTTTATCTAAACATTTCGGTGATCTTTACATAGAAGAGTATTTTCTCTGTTCAATCAGCGTTCAAACAACACGACAACATCTACATAAGTTTGTTATAATGTTTATATGTTAACATGTTTATTATTTATAATTTTTTCTCACTAATTTCATAATTCTAAAACACCACTGAAATTGTTTTTTTATTGGAAAATTACATTTTCCATGAAGGGAAAAACTCCGTACTCTGTTGTTTAATGTTGACGTGAGGATCAATTATCGTCAAAATCGACGGCAAAATCGTGGTCTGCAGCAATACGCGATGCGCCAACGAATCAACGAGACAGTTAAATAAAAGCAAACGAGATTTACAAACGATAACCATTGTAAATCATGTTAAAGGTCGTTATATGTTCTATACAATTTATCATCTCGTCAATTCAAAGGAGAATTAAGGACAATGATAAATGTTCGTATTCACGAATCACAAGTTACAGCGTAGTAAAGATTTATTTTTTTTTCGTATGACATGTTTGAACGCTCCCAAAATTAACAACTTTATTATTAATACTGTTATTATTATGATCTACTGCAGAAAACAATTTTAAAATATGGTGAAAATTAATCCACAATTTAATTTATCCACAATATTTAAACGGTTCTTATTGTTTGAGTCTTGAGTAATCAGGAACTAAAATTGTGTGCATTACGTTACACTTTGTGTAATACGAAGTGTTAAGTGGGTAGTACGAAATTAAAAAGTGTGTTGTGGTTCTATTCTCTATACTATATGATATTTACTATATAACTACTATGATATTTGTTTTTAATCTTACATTTTTTTATCAAATTATTTTAAAAAATACCAACTATTTTAACTGTATTACTCATTACTGTTAACATTTGAAAGGGGAGTATGAAAAAATCCTTTAGTGTGCAATACGAAAATCTTTTTTTAGCCTCTGATCGTAATAGTAATGAAAGCAAATATTATACTGACGGAGGGTTGGATTATTTTTATAAATACTCTTTTGTAATAATTACTTAATGCCATTGATTATAAATACTATAGTATAGTATTGGTATAGTAAATTAATACAATAGTATTTATAATTAATGGTAATACCTTTTACTATAGAATATTATATTCCATAACCAATGGTAATTACTATTACATATTTTGTATATTGTATATATTTCAGAGATGTTGAATCAAGAATGGATTTTGGTTTAGACGGTGCCATAATGTTCGTTTACAACCGAAAAAAGACAGAAAGATACATGGATTCGTCTTTCGTTTTGTTATACTCGTATTCATTATATATTTTTGAAAGCAATTATATATTTTGGCATATAAAAAAATATTCTGAATGAAGGTCAGTGTAAATGAGTAATTTTTACTTGCAGCATATAATATTAAAAATCTTATTTTTTTAATAAAATATAATAAATTATTATTAATTACTCATATTATTAATAATTTTAGCGTATTGTCATCACGTAAATACGGGTAATAAAAGAATAAGATAATTCAGAGTAGGCTCAAGGGGCATATTTCTGATCAGGATTGGCGCTAGAAATATTAGCGCCCAGACGTAGCCATGTTTTTCTGACCCCTTCTCCCAGTAATTAATTACAATTGCTTTTTAGATGCAGATTATTTTAAAATGTTTTTGTGTACTGGCTATTAATATCGTAGTATTACAATATATAACTAACAATAGTACAACAATCAAAGATATGTTTAGAGTTTTGATGCCCCAGGTAAAGTTTTATTACCACCCCTACACACGTTTTAAACAATTTTTCAAAAAAGATAATATATATTATCTATGGACTTTTTGCGGTCAACTTTTGATAATATTATCATGCAAATAAAAATCGCAGTGGTCGCTATGCAAAATCTTAAAACATTAAAATTTTTTGATTGACGAATGAAAATGGATGATGGATTATAGTTCCAAAAAAAAATGCTGCCACTCCTTAATTTCAAAAAAATGTTCTGCCCGGAACGATGGTGCCCATTGCATCCCCCCTGAATACGTCCTTGATAATAATCAAAATACATAATATTTACGTTTTTCTATATTCAACGGCAATAATAAGTCGGGATATTGATGACATCCATATTAAATTAACTTTAACTTTTTAAATCCAAATCGTAGAAATGTAGTAGATGTAGAGTAAAGGTGGCCAACGTCGGATCCAATGTTGGAATGTTGGATTACTTTTGAATACTTTCCTCCAGGATATATCTGTGTGTAAATGTATATACACATCTTCTCAGTGGTATAACTGGAACCTCGATTGACTATGGAAAATTAACTTAAACCCTTGATCATACAAAGATCAACCTCTGCTAATATGTAATAAATAATTGAAAATATATTTATACCTATACAATTATGATTATGATCATTTTTGATTACGCACTACATTATCTCATTTTTTTAGTTAAAATAATATAAACGAGGCAATAACCAAATTTAAAATATTTAATTTATATTTAAAAAAATGTTCTGTGAGCTTTTTAAAATACCACATATTTAATTATATGTGGTGGCAGGAACGGCGCGAGGGGGTGGGCAATAAAGACAATTGCCTAGGGCCCCGCGCCTTAAATTATAATTAAGGCCCCGTGGTTCTGATTTAACTAAACTTAAAATATTTTATTAATATAAATTATAAGACCAAACATTTATTTTGCCCAGGGCCTCGAAAACTCTATTACCGTCACTGTGTAGTGGTACTATTGAGTAACCGGCGGCACGCTACAATTTTATGAAAATTTTGTTTTTCTTTCTTTTTCTTCAGCAAATTTACCTATTCAATCTTCGAAGTTAACCTCTCGGACTGTATCTTGTTTAATTGAAAGTAATGCCAGGCCACTTAAATGATAACGAATTGAGGTAATCGAGAGTCGCCAATATGCTTTCATTGATTAGAGGTTATACCGCTCTAAATGTAGAGTGTGTTTCCTTATTATTTTGTTATTTTATTATTTCTCTTCCAAAATGATTATCAAATCTGTATATACTAACATCACATATGCCACTCGCTGAGAGGCAAAC